CCAAGTTTCATGTTAGTACATCAAATAGTTAATAAATGGGAGCGATACGAAAATATGTATCGTTTTGGATTTTGTCTGTGATTTTTGGAAAATCTCTCATTGGATTTCTATTGGGGAAGTGTGGACTTCTTCATGGTCTGGGCCAAACTGTCGGAAAACCGTAAATGCCACATAAATTAGGGTTATATTTCCTGAATCCTGATAAAAATCCCTACGTTTTGATGTATAATTTATTTCAATTGAGTTAAAAATGAGGGACTGAGAATAATTTGTTCGGAAAAACCAGAACTGCTCAAAAGCTAGAGCACGCACTCTAGCAGTTGAAGAATTCCGTCCATAGACTTCCATTATAAATCTGAAAATCTTAAAATTTTCTTTTAAAGTTTGAAGCTTCACTGAAGCAGAACTGTAAAAGTTAGCAAAAAGCTGAGTTAAACAGTAATAGCAGAAAGATACGGAAACATTTTAAAAGTTGAATGGTGTTTCTAACTGAAAGTATGCTGAAGTAGTTAAAAGTCGAAGGTGATAAAGTTTTATCAGAATTTTGCTGAAATCTAAGAATTCTACATGCATTTCAATGGGAAAAAAAAAACGCAGAAAAAGCAGAATGTCGCGAAAACTACAAAAAATATCTTTACCAAAAGACATAGCACAATGCTCCTGAACAAGCTGAACGTTTTGATACCAAAATTGTTGAAATCGGTTGAAAACTGCGGGACTAGTTAGAGTCAGAAAAATTTGAAGTGAACAACAATAAGTGGGAATGCATAAGCATTCCCACTTGATAACCTGGATGACTGGTGAGTCAAGAATACTGCATTGCATTTCATATCTAGTGTTTCCGATGCCCAAAAAGTTGAAGCTCAAGGGCTAGATATGAGTCAGTGCTTTGTTACCCACCCAAAACCTACCATTGACCATATGACCAACCAGTGACACACGTGAGAGCCTCTCCTGACTATGGCACATATCTCAGGCCCACTTCAGAGCCAACTCTGACCAGGTAACCCACCTGGGACACACCGTGATACAACTCTGACAAGGTGGCCCACTTGAGACAAACATGATACCCATCCCTGATGGTGTGACCATTCTGTGGCACACTCAGATATGTAGTGATATTGGCCTATCAAGGCCATTTGACCCTCCTATGTACATGCGACTTGTTGACCGTTTTACCTTTGCAGTTGTGTTGCAAGGCGTTGCCATAGAAACCAGGTTTGCAGAATTGGCACTGTGGACCTGTCGTGTGGTAAAGGCAGCGAAGACATTCTCCAGTTTTGGTGTCGCAGGCGTCACCACTGTTGGGCTCGATGTTGTTGTTGCAAGAGCACACTTTACAGGTTGCACCAGGTAAGGTCAAGTCTCCATAGAAACCAGGACTGCACCTGTCACATTGTGGACCTGAGAAGTCCAACATGAAAGAATTTTCAGATAAAACCTACAGGAAATAAAGTATAATTGAATCACAATTTCTATGAGGTATACAAATGTTAATTTTAATTCATTTTTATACTTCATTAAAATCCCCATCTACCATCAGAAAGGAATTCATGCACAGTGGTTCGGTACAATGGTACAAGGAAGTAAAGCTTGGACCTGAGCATTTGCAGACCAGCTGATACACATATCCAGATCCTACCTGCATGCCCTTCTCTACAGGAACAGCTAACACTTAGGGACTGTTCGTCGTACTGACAGGAAGAGGCAAAGAATCGTCCACTGCTCAAGATGTCAGGACACAGGCAGGGCTGACACGATTGCCTGGAGACTGGGTTACCATAGTAACCCTCCACACACCTAAAGAAGAAGCACAGGTGGGTCAGAACCACATGAGAGGATCATATGAAACCATCATTTAATGAGATTTTCTTACTTAAAGTAAAATAGCTCAAACTGCTTAGAAAATTAGTTTGAAAGAGGAGAGATGCAAAACTGATAAACTCTGTAATCAGAAACAGAACCTTCAGTCCAACCTGTTACAGTGTGGCCCGGTGCTGTGTTCTCTGCAGTTTAGACACGTTCCTGTCTCTCCATCGCATGTCTCTGACAGGTCATTGCAATCACAAGGCTGACAGAGGGGGAATCCCCAGAATCCAGACTCGCATCGATCGCATCGTTGACCTGTCACCTGGGGGCGACAATCACACTGACCGCTGATCACATCACACGCCTCCGAAAGGGACCCTCGAGGATCACATTCGCAGCCTGCAACAAGAAGAAGGGTTATTTTAAAGAGGAGCTGTAGAGAGGAGGGCTGATTGGATCAACAAGCTAGAAATTCCTTCTCACGTTTACAGCCTTCAGGTCCAAATCCAAAGTGCAATGGTGCACAGGCATCGCAACAACGTCCAATCACGCTGCGCTGGCATTCACAGAACCCACCCAACTTACTGCATCCTGATCCAAGAGAACCGATGCTGTTACACCTGCAAGCTGAAACCAGGAAACACACAACATTAAACTGGTTTCACTTTAGTTACAGATTATGCAAATCTTCAGGTTGCTTGAACTGTTGAAAACATTTATTAGGACATTAACAGGTTATTTACTGACATTGTGCACATCACAGATGTGACATAGAGACAAGCAGTCAGTTATCAGGGTATAGCATCTACAGGTGGATACACCTTGGAGCCTATTCTATTTCACAGTCCTACAGATAACTCTCAATGATGACTTGTCCCCTACAAACAATATGCATGTCATGTTTACTGTTTTTGAAGGATGTCCCCGCTGATCTCTAAGAAACAGCTGTAACCCTTACTCTGGGCTCTTTCAACATTCCTTTTTCCCATGGCGGTAGTAAACGCTTTCACCTAAACAACTCCACTGTCGATTTTTGATTAAATTCTGTTTAACCTACAGTCCTGTTTTATGGTGATTTATACTGATAGATAAACTGATGGAAAGCCTAAGGCGTGTAAGCACCTTAGGGGGACAGTAGCATACATTATTTTTAAAATGAAATGATTCCAACAGGATTCAGCTGTTTAGAGACACGTCTACACTAATATACTCTTTGTAACTCGATACACCTTTGTACAAACCTCCCTTTTTTCCTGCTCACCTGGGCTTTTGGACCTATTTGTTTCCAATGGCTAGTGTATTTAAGCAGACACAGTGCTAGATGCAAGATAAATGCCTCTGAGGACTGGAGTTTGAGACAACTGGTAAGTGAGGTGAGACCATAGTTCATTAGCTATGTTAACGTGCAGAATTTCCCCAACCCAATCTAAACATTAGTTGATCAGAAATTATATATCTAATTTTACATGGATATTAACTGAAACTTTACTTTACTATACATAAACCAAATGATTCAATGGTTAAAAAACTTAAACTTTAAGAACTATCTAATTTTGGAAAAAAAAACCATCCCAGTGACATTCCACACATGCGCTGTGGAGATTATTTTCCCCCAAAAATCCGAATGGATGTGTACATTGTGTCATGATATTGGCGCTGATGACTGGCCTGATTACTCATTTCATTCACCTACCTAGCTCCACACAGTTCTCATTATCTTTTATCTGATCCAGCTGCTTAAGCCTCTATTTAACTAGTCATCAGTGCCAGATTATTCAAGCCTGTGGTGAGATTTTTCTAGCAAACCTGAGAGTTTCTGATTGCCCAATCCTGACCCGTTCTGCCTCTGGGCCTCTGAACCTGCCTGTCCCTGTTCTGATCTGTTTGCCTGACCTGTCCTCAAACTCCTGCTTGATATCTGCCTTTGTACGGCACTTGGGACTGATTCCTGACACCGTCCTGAATTTCTCTTTGGGACCTCCATGGACCTCCGACCACCTGCCTTCCTTCCTCTGCTCTGCCTGTCCTCTAAGCTCTGGGACTCTGATCTTTTTGACAGCGACCAGCTGGAACAAAACTCATCCTCTGGGCGCTGATGGAATTTTAAGACCAGATTAGTAACTCACACGTTCATTTTGGTCCTCCGCCAGATGGGCGTGGTCACTAACTTGTATTCTCCCCCTGCAGAGGTTGCTGCCTTAGATGTCCACGCTGTCCTCCGCAGTTCCGTCTTAAATAAACATTTTGTTAAACCTAACTGTCTCTCCCCCTCGAAGACTGGGATCCTCTTGTTCTGAGCCTGACATACGGATGCTAATCGGAATGCCAATCGGCAAAAATCACCTCTATATTTAAAATTATTTTTCTGATCCGACTGAATTGAATTAGAATCTACAATCTAACATGTTTACATCAAGTATCTTTGATCTTATCAGACCCTCAATCGGATTTTTCCTGTCCATCGAAACGTAGCTATTGATAAGTAAATGGAATGGAATAGGAAATATCCCCTTATAGTCTTGGATGTGGTGTGGACTATTAAGGGATGTGGGTGCTTCCACACGGAGTGGCATGTAGTAAGCACTTTGGGTTTAAGGGCCCTGCTTCCCAAATTACAGTAAGAATTTTGAACTAGCAACCTTTGCAGACTTTCTAGTTTGCTCTCTAATCACTAGGCCATTACCTCCATGGGGAACCATTACTCCCACTCCCATCGGTGTGCATGCCTCCCATGGAAAGCCATTAAAGGTTTGTCAAGGCAGCTGTGAATACTGGAATGCTGTCTTTTGATGCCTGTATGCTAACTTTTGGTCTTTTGAGCAATAGTTCCAACAGCTATAACATATTTTTATTTTTATTCTTTTCACTTCTGTTATTGCCTGTAGACTTGCAGTGAGTATCTCACCCACAGCTCCGTTGTGGATGCGAGCTGACAGACTCTTGATTAGTCCCTCGCAGATTTTAGGAAGCGACTCCTGAGAGCCAAGATAGACATCCAATCCTACGCAGCGAAAGTTACTTAAAGAGTCGAAGTCACTATGGGAACAAAAGTTTTGGACCGAATCAAAAATCTGAATCAGTCCCATCTAGAAAACAAGAAACAGAACAAAACACATCAGAAGGGTAAGGATTCAGGTTCTTTTACTCAGATTATGAAATTTCAGTATTTCTAAATCCTAGCTAAAGGTACAAGGTATCATTTAAAGTTCTTCTGCTTCAGTGGGCCTCATTCTCATGTCAAAAACCCATAGACTCTAGAAAACACTTCTGTTTTATTATCTGCACATTGTCCATGAAACTGCTGTATGGGCAGGTTTTTTTTCTTCTTCGTATGTTTCCATATTAGGTCAGCTCTTTATTAAGGTGCTTCTGGAAAAAATTATTCTACAATGAATACAGATTCTTTAAAGCTTATTTGTAGCGTTGAAAAATACATTTTTTCAGGTATTTCAGGTGTTTTTGCTGCCTAAATAAGATCCATTTTTAAAACTAATGATAGGCCTGGTCTGAAGGTGATCCTGCTCGGTGCAGATTCCAAAAAAGTAGTGGGGAAAAAATCTTTAATTATTATTCCAAAAAAAAAAAAAAATCAGGTTTAATCTTGAAACAAACAATAATAATAATAACAATAAATACATTTATTGGGGTATTAAATATATTTAAAAAATTACACGTATTTGAGATTGGTAAGTAAAAACAAACTCATTAGAGGGTGTGGTCTAATATTTTAAACTTTCTAATCAAATGTAGATGTTATTATTGTTATTAATGTATTGTTATTAATTGAATCAGTGCATAACTATTTATAAATTCAGGCTGTCTATCTTTGACTAATAGACAGAGTGTAACCTCAAGACTCCACATTTGTACACCCTCTTCTATGCTTTTTTTCCCATGCTTGTTCAGGAAAATCATGAATTGAACATTTCTGACTTGTCGAGACTGCACAGGAATTTTGATTTCAGGGAGAGCATATAAAAACCATTTGTTTATAAAATAAAACAAAATGTATTAATGCATTATTTTACATTAACACAACAAGAGATGTATTGTTATCTACATTCCCATAAACTTTTATTTTTGAATACTACTGTTGTTGTATATACCCAAATATAACTATCTACAGCTACTTTATTTTTGAGTAAAAATATGCGTGTAGACAAAGGATTCTCACCGAATCAACCAACAAGGGAGAGTTGTCTAGAATTTGCTCCCGGTCAAAGAAAATCTCCATATTGTAACGACCTCCAGCATTAAGACACAGCCGGGAGTCCAGAATTCCCAATCTAGAAAAAAAACAAGAGTGTAAAATGAACATGACAGTGACTAAGTGAGAAATGTCATTTTTCAAAGACAAAAATACCGTAGGCAGTAAACCTAGTAGTAGTTAGATTATTTCCACACAAGAGGGCAATGTCGTATCAGCCATCTTGGTTGGCAGCCAAAAAGATCCCTTTGGTAGCTTTGATTAACTTGTATTTCACAATTAGGTATTTTCCTATTCCAGCTTTCAAACAATTAAAAAGTTGATGCTGTTAAATAGAAAAGCCTCTTCAATGTAATTTTTTGAATTTTAAATGTTAAATCTTCTCTTAAACCTACTGGTTCTCTTTGGCTTATGAAACAAAAATTGTTAAGATGTTTTCCCCCTTTTCTTATCATTAATAGTGTATTTAAGGTTGACACTTTGTATTATTCATTTTTACTTTATCGTTATCTTATTTGTTCTGTATTTGAATGTTTTATTTATTTAAATCTTCATTTGTTTTGTTAAGCTCATGGGTCAGTGACTCCACTTTGAAAAGTGCTTTATAAATAAAATAAAATTGCACTGTCTTTGCTTCTTTTGGTAAATTATCAATAGGACGGGGAATTTGCTTGCTTAATTTTACATTTTCCTACCAAAAAACTTTTTGAAAAATATTTGTTACATTAAGATTGATTAAATTATTCACATATGCATATTTAGGTTACATAGAGTATGTAATATTTCTTTGACATTGTTTGCTGAAGCAAGAAAATACATTTATTTTATGTAACTTTCTTATTGTTTTAGGTTTATTTATCTAACACTCATCAATCCACCAAAGAAAATAACATGAGTGGATTTTTCCAATGCTCAATGCTTTCCTGCTGGGTGCAAAGAGAAAATAACTGGGAATAATAAATACTCAGAATGCAGTGAGGAAACGGATATATCCAGGAAAGACACCAAGATCAGAGAGGACACAGATTCCAGTGGAATCATTGGAATCAGTAGGGACACTTAAGGCAAAGTGGAGGTGAGGAGGCTCCCCAACACTAGTTTAATTAGCATTGGGACCAACTGACATTCATATCCATTGTAAGGACCTTTATGGTTGTTCATAATCCTTATCATGACAGGGTGAACAGGCTCAGCCCACCCTTACAAAGTTTAACATAAATACATTACTTCTTCACATGTACTCTGTGTGACACCTGCTAATGCACACACCTTTGTATGTTTTGGGATTTAAGGTGGAGATCTTAAAGTTATAGTGGAGGATGTTCTTTTTACAGGTGGATCATCAAATAAGTGGTCGTCCTAATTGTAAATCATTATAGTGATATTTTTATGTAAGGCCGTCCCATGTGCTCGTCCCCTTTTTCACTTACTGGTGGTGAGTCTGACATAGTGGAAAAATTGCAAATCTTCTTTTGAAAAGTAAGCAAAAAAAAAAAGTACATGTGAAGAAGTAATGTATTTTGGAAAGTAAGCCCATAGTGGAAAAATTGCAAATCTTCTTTTGGAAAGTAAGCCTGTATAAGTGATGCAAACAGCAAATTTTAAACAGAGCACACGTTTAATAGACGTTCCCTCTCAGGAGCAGGACAGGGTTGTGCATGTGTATTTCTTTTTAAAGTGGAGATCACGGGTCTTTTCAAAAAAAATTGTCGAATTCCTCCGCTATACCTTTAAGCGTGTGCAGCATTTGTTTAACTTTTGTTTTTTGTACTTCTTTTTCAGGAAAAATGTAGTCCCAATTTCGCCAGCACCATCTTTGTGTGTGTCTGTCATAAATCCATCCATAAGAAGTCTGGAGCTTCTTCTCTTCCATGTATAGAGTTTTTACTGTTGAGATTGCTAAAGGTGAAGGGATAGGAACAGAGAGCTACAATCTGAGGTGTTTGGTAAGAGCCTCAGTCTCCTGGTTACCTTCATCTCATTTGACTCCTCGGGGAGATTACACCTTTTACATTTTTCTTGTTAGTACATGCAATATCTCCCTTAAAATCTTCCACATCGTCTAGATGTTTTTGTGATATTTTTGGTCAGCATTGGTTTTAGCCTTTAAGCTCTTTTGTTATCTCCTGGTATTGGATCATGAACACTGTCCTTTACTGGGAAGGGCTTCAGATGCTGCTCTTCATTTATGAGCCTCTAGATTAACCATTGGTGCAATATTTGCAGACTTTCAGATACTGGAAACTTGTTTTCCATCTAGTCTTTAATGTCCCTAATTGTTATTTTATGGCACCTTATTAGATCTTTAGCCCCGCTTTGTGTTATCAGACAGGTTCTGTTTAACAAGTACCTACTTCGACTGGTCTGGGTAGAGTTTGGCTAGAGTAATAAAAAAGAAATGTGGTCAGACGATGTAAATTATGGATTGATATTTAGATTTTTTTGTCTGTTTGTGACTCAAAATGAAAAACCTCAAAAACATATGTGGGCATTTTGGGGAAAAACAGAAAGAGGTTAATATATTGAGAAGAAACACTTGTTCATACATATGATGAGTCAGCCAATCAGTGTGGAGGACACTAAACTGAAGTATACTTGAATACAACAGTTTCTGTCCTATGTTTCAACAGGATGCTGTGCACGTGGTCAGCAGTCATATATCCTCCAAGATATATTACCTCACATTTATCGTCTTACCTGGAGTTTCTTGGAAGAATCAGTGTTAGACTTCCGGTTGGGGTATCACTGCAGGCTCCATCACCTGGGGATAGCGTAATAATCCGTACAGTAGCCAGCCAATCAGAGGCAGACTGCAGAGAAAGATGTGATTGCTCTTCAAACCACATAAGAAGGTACAAAAATCACCTGCTATAGTTCTTTAAATAACTGATAAATGTAAGCTACTTATATTACAGTGCTGACATCTGAATAAAGGAAAAACCAACAAGAAAAATCTGATTCATGATTGATGATTTCCATGTTTTTTTTTTTTTTTTTTTTTTGTTTGAGTCAGATGTCAGCATGAACTCTTTTCTCAATACAAATTCCAACTGGGATGCTGAGGTTTCTCTCACCTCAGACTCATAGCGGATCACCAGATGATATTCCATCGATGTTGGAAGGTTGTCCACTGTGAATGTAAGCCCCGCCCCCTCTGTGACTCTGACTAATCCCAGACCAGTTCCAGACTGCTCAGGTGACCCTTGGTGGGGGAGGATCTGCAAGGGCCTCCGATTCAGACGGTTGATGTTCTGCTTCAGGACCAAAAATGTGCAGAGGAAACCAAGATCTGGTTTATTGCAGAATAAAAGAATCCTTTCAGAGGCACAAACGGTAAATGATTCTCACCTGACGCCTTCGGCGGCTGAGACGACGTGGCTTCCGGACCAAAACCACCTTTCCATTGGAGACTTTGAAGTCATAGCCCTGATTTCTGTAGTACTGCTCACATGGAGGCAAAAGGCTGGGATTCACCTGAAAACGCACAGTCCATGTAAACTGAGACACAGTCCCAATAAAACAAAACAGAAAAACAAAAACTGAGACAGGGTACAGGAAAAATATAAAATAGTGAAAATTAAAAGATTAGACTTAGAAAACTTTTACTGTCATTTTGTATACACAGAGGGCCGGATCTATCAAAGGTTTGCGTGTATAAAAACGTGAACTATTTCACTGCGCACGCTAAAAAATGTACAAACTGATCTATCAACAGCGTGCTAAAAGGATTTGGTCTTTAAAACGTGCTAAATAGCGCCTCTTATCCATTTAGTACTTTTTGCAATGAATATGCAATATGGGGCGTGTACACGCAAAAGTGCGTCTTGTGGGAGGAGAACATGTAAATATATTAATTTAGCACTCGCAGAGTGATTTATCAAACCTGAAAGCAATTTTGCTAACGGTATCTGGCTCTATATTTAACATGTTTCAAAAGAAGGGGCAAATGGTCTGTATGCGTAATTGCGCACACATGGCAGCGGTTATTGTCACAAGAAGGAGACATCGAAATGAAGCAAGGAGACGCAGAGAAGGCATTTTTTCACTCCGTGTGAATATTTTTGGAATGAACGAGGAAACGATCATCAAAACATATCGTTTATCCAGCATTGCCATTTTGGAGCTGTTGGGGGAACTCCGATTGAATTTTGGAGCCAGCCACAAGGAGGACCCACGCAATACCAGATATCACAAAACTCCTTGCAACATTGCACTTTTTTGTATCTGGGTCATTCCAGCGTACGGTTGCAGCGAGAGCTGGGATCTCCCAATCTCGTTTTTCAGAAGTGCTGTCCGACGTTCTAAATGCCATGTCGCCCTTACGCCCTAACGGAGAACCCCGACCTCCCTGCGCCTGTGGAGCAACGTGCCAATGCTGCGGGGATGCATATGCGCAGTAATCTCATCCACAGTCACTTCTTGTGAGCCATTTGGTATGTGCATTTTTCTACAGGCCAATACAAAACACCTGTTTTTTTTTTTTTTTTTACTGCAGTGAAGTATAAATTCAGCCACATACCACCTTAGGGAATAAAGGTTGCCAAAGTTTATATATATATATATATATATATATATATATATATATATATATATATATATATATATATATATATATATATATATATATATTTTTTTTTTTTTTTTTTTTTTTTTTTGGAGGGGGTGGGGGTGTCACTGTAAGATAAAAATTTCTTAATGCACTAGTTTGTTCAAACTACAAACTACTTTGCCGCAAACCACAAAACGCGCAAAACCATCATTTAAATAGGGTGTCTCTAACAGTTTTGCACCTGCCACCAGTTACGCAATCACTCTTGTTAAATCACCCACAAACCATGGTTCAGCCCCTCGCGCAAAATTCCAGTTTGCGAGCGCAAATTACTGCACGCAAAATTGGATCTTGATAAATCCGGCCCAGAGTGTGTACAAAACTGAATTTTGTTTAAACAGCTCTTCAGACAGTAAATGAACATTTCCATTCCATAAAGTGCAGCAGAGATCAAATGCAAACAGTGTGGGAGAAGAAACATGGAGCAAAGAACGCATTGAAATGGAAGTTCAGAGCATTATGGTGTAAATATGCAGTATTTTTGGTTTGGTGCTGCTAGTGTGATGCAGAGTCTGTGACATGATTTAGAGTTTTTTAACTGTTTAACTGTCTGATGGCGGTGGGTAAGATTAAAGCAGCGCTGGGACGAAATGTCTTTAATGGAGGGAAGAGGAGCCCTGATGCTCCTCTTTGCTGTTCTTACTACTCTTCTTACCTTCTTCCAGTCTGAGGCGCTGCAGCCTCCGTACCACACAGTGAGACAGCTGGTCAGAACGCTCTCTATGGTGCTTCTGTAGAAGGTGGTGAGGATGGGTGGGGGCAGGTGGGCTCTCCTCATCTTTATCAGGAAGTACATGCGCATTTGTGCCCTTTTGACTAGTGAGGCGGTGTTTACATTCCAGGTCAGGGTGTCTGTGATGTGCACCCCCAGGAATTTGGTGCTGTTGACCAGCTCTAAATCCGAGGTGTTCTGTCTGACCCGGACTGACTAAGGGCTGTTTGTGAGGAAGTCTAACGGCCAATTGCAGAGGGGTGTATTGAAGCCCAGCTGTTTCAGTTTGCCTATGAGATGCTGTGGGATGATGTTGTTGAAAGCTGAACTGAAGTCCAACAGCATCCGCACGTGGGTGTTCTTCTCTTCCAGGTGTGCCAGGCTCCGGTGTAGAGCAGCAGAGATGGCGTCCTCAGTGGAGCGGTTCCGTCGATAGGCAAACTGGAACGGGTTGAATGTAGGGGGGGGGGACTGGAGACTATGTGTTCTTTAACCAGCCTTTCCAAGCACTTTATCATGATGGGAATCAGTGTGACAGCGGTAAATTATTGCATTTTGACTAAACTGATAGGGGGCCCAGGTAAACAGCCTGTTAAATAATGTCAGATTTCTAAAACAGAGCTGGTAAGAAATTTTAAAATCTCTCTCTTCTGTGAGAATATATCTATAATAATTTCTACCAAAATTGACTTTAGGAAACTCCATTAGATCAAGTCCCTGATCCTGATGGTTTGACATAAATGGGTATCAGATTCAGTGATGATGCCCACCAGAGGAGAGGAAGAGGGTGAAGGACGAGAAGGCGGAGAAGGGGAGGAGTTTCCTCCTGCCTGTTGTACAGCTAGCTCCGCCTCATACAGGAAGTAGTTCAGTGAAGGCAGGAAGTAACCAGGAGCAGGATCAGAACAGCGCCGGCCGATCATGTTGGGTAAACAGTGACACTGCCCGTCCTCTGAAGAACACCTGAGGAGACCCATAGAAAATCTATCAACTACTTTTTACTAACTTACTTATTACTAATGTTTAATAATAAAACATTAGTAATTATTTACTTGTTAGTATTTAAGTATTATATACATATACCGAATAATATTCTGGACATTTAAGTTTAATTGTTTGAAACCCCTAATTAAAAACTGGTCATTTATATAAATAAGAAATATTGCACTTCTGTTCACTGTGGGAAAAAAAAAAAATATATCTCTGATGTTTTTATAGTCAGCTTTTTTTCTTTCTGTATGAATTATGTAGATCCAGGATGCAACCGGTGACTCTGAATTTAATTTGAATAGAATGCAGGAAAGTTGTTATTTCTACATAAGGTTGAGCATATAAAGTCAAATAAAATCCTACATGTTGCTGTGAGCTCCACCGACATCACAATCACAGGGTGAACATCTGAACATGGAGTTTCCCAAACCCCAGAAACCTGCCTGCAAACAAGACCCACAAGCAGAAGATCTGTTTCACCATCATTCAGGAATGATTGAACTTTATCTAACACTTATAGAGTGAACTATAACCTACCACACACTGATCACACAGGGGCCCAGTAGCCATTGGCTCACATTTACAGCTTCCTGTCAGCTGGTCACATGGTCCAACACTTCCCAAACGGTGGCATTTACATTCTGCAAATAGATTAAAGCTGCACAGAAAGGCCATAAAGAGCACTGTCTTGATTCTTCCAACTATTTCTTTTTTATTTCTTTTTAAAAAAAGTGGCTAATTAACTATTTGAGCCTCTATTCTACTATAACCGGCCTTAGAAGTTTCACTCACACTAAAACCTTGTCATTAAACAAAAATTTTCTTATGGTCTCAGATAAAAGCTATAGATACTGTAATATTGGGTCCCTACTTTTCCTGTTAGATATTCATTATTTTATTTTATTTTATTTATTTTTTTGATGAATTGATGCAGTCAATCACTGTATTCTCTTGCAAATGCCTCAACATGCTGTATTGATTAAAGGAAGTAGGCGAGTTTGGATCCCATCTTTGAAAGATCCCAGTTTTTCATGTTAGTGTTAAATCTTTCTCCATGAGTTAGTTCAGGTGTGTTCAGTAGTTCAGGGCTCAGTAGTTGGGTTAATTACTTTTTCATCCAATTCTTCAATTGAGCTTCAATTCAGCTTTTTTTATAATGTTTTGAACTGCCTTTTTGTATATCTGAAAGGTCAGGGTGTCACCCTCATGTACTGTCACCATTAGCTGAGCTATTGCTGCCAATAATGTCCTTCTTTTTTTAGATGAGGCATCTTTTTACATTGACATAAAACAAATAACTTGGCTTTCTTAGTGCTCCTTTAAAAATTGTAATTACAACATTATTTTGACAGATTTATTTCTATATTGAATATAAAAATGAAACGTCATTGGATTCATATGAATTTGTGTCTACAAATCTGAGATCTTTGTCAATTTCAGGTAAAAAAAACAAAACAAACTGATATTATTATTTAATTTGACCCTGTTTCAAAGGTAAAGCAAGGCTAATAAGTCTGCTGGTACCGTCACATCCAGTTGGGTTCTCCTGTCTCAGATTGAAGAAGCCATGTTTGCAGCGATCGCAATGTGGACCCTCCACGTTTTCCTTACAGAAACAGCGACCGCTTGAAGCATCACACAGACCTCCGTTGAGAGAGCCGGCAGGGTCACAGTCACACGCTGAAACAAGATCATTTCTCCGTGATGCTGAGATGGGGGACACATCCTAACATGTTGCTGCTGAGAGCTACAGAAACATCAATACATTTTGGACCTGCTAGATATCTTTGCATCAGAACTCAAACCAGACATAAACATTATGGTTTGATTAATTTATAAAGGGCTTATTTAGATCAGAAGCATCATAGGAATTTAATCTGGTATGACCAGAAAAACTTAGGACGTGTTTTGAAGGTCACCATAAGACAAAAGTTAAAATCTCAAAATTTTCATGTAAGAGGAGTCTCCCAACGACAGACTAAGACTGATAGCTATAAACTCATAGTATTATGCATTTGTTAGATGCATCCCTTTTATAAAGCATGCAATTCAAATAAATACCTTGGTAAATGACCTCTGCTGAGCTAAATGACTCACTGATGAGGGGATTGTGTGTTTAAGGTTTCATATCATATTGCTACTCAACTACTGAGTCAATTTTGACTCATAATGTCTGATTAAATTTTGTTAATGATTTAATCAAACACAGAGATAGATGTGAAACTTGGAATTTTAAAGTAATAAAATAAATTGCATATACAAATAAAAATAGTATTTGAAAAGAAACAAATTGGGCTAAAGAAACACTTTACCTAATCAATTTAAAAAAATTAGAATTACCAATCTTAGCAGTAGGTTATGTATATACATATAGATATATGAATTTTTTGAAGAGTTTCAATCTGGCTTTAGAGCTCATCACAGCACTGAAACAGCACTGGTCAAAGTCACTAATTATTTTCTCATGGCCTCAGAAGATGGACTTGTATCTGTACTTGTCCTGTTAGATATCAATTCAATTTCAATTTCAATTCAGTTTATTTATATAGCGCCAAATTCACAACACATGTCATCTCAAGGCACTTTACAGTTCAACTAGATCATACAGTCAAATTGATACAAAGTTTTCTATCTAAGGAAAACCAGTTGATTGCATTGAATCATTAACTCAAATACAATCCCTCACACTAAGCATGCTTGTAGAGACAGTGGAGAGGAAAAACTCCCTTTAACAAGAAGAAACCTCCAGCAGAACCAGGCAAATGCAGTAAATCAGTGCTGCATTTGATACAGTTGACCATAATATTGTTCTAGAAAGACTTGAATGTTTTTTTTATGAATTAAAGGAACAGCACAAGACTGGTTTATATCATATCTATCTGATAGATTTCAGTTTGTTCACGTTAATGACAAATCTACCACATGCTCAAAGGTTACCTGTGGAGTACCACAGGGATTAGTGCTAGGAACAATTCAATATATATATATATATATATATATATATATATATATATATATATACATATATATACATATATATATATATACTAGTGCTGTCAAAATTATTGCGTTATTATCGCGTTAACGCGAGGCCATTTTAACGGCGATAATTTTTTTAACGTGAGATTAACGCTATGTGGTTTTATGGTACAATTTTCCAAGTACATCCCGCTGCAGCCTGCGGGAAGGCGGGGCTATTTTCCCCCAGTCTATGCATTTCTCATAGGCTTCGAGAGCGGAGCTCCTCAAGGAAAAACGACGCTCATACACTGGGTGACGCTAGTGCCTTTTCTTTAAGCCCCACCACCAACAAACAAGTTGAGTGTCTGGTAACTAGTAGCAACCTGAAATACGCTGAGAAAACAGATTACTGAGGTGAAATGGAATCTGCTACGGCACTCTTGCTGTCTGTGTACGCCACAGGTCGGTATCGTGTGTGTGTGTTGGTGGGTGGGTGTGTGTTGTGTTCTCATTTTTGTTAAGAGGCTGAAAAGTAACTTTCTAGAGCATAGACTACCTCCATCTAGTGATGTCGGTCTATTGATTTTGATGTATTGATTGAAAATTGTTCATTATTATCTTGGTTAATTAACATCTAATGTTAACTGTACTACATTTTATAGCAGTAGGGTAAAATGCTTGTCTTTGTTCAAAAGACTGTATTAACTGTAAAGACTGTCTTTTACATCAGCCTGTTTTCAGGGCCTTTTTTTTTGGCTACATATTTGTTATTTTTTGCTATATGCCTCCCCATCTTCTTGCCATATGTTTCTATGGCATAAATCAGTGTCTGTGACCTGTTTTCATTTTAAAAAAAGAACATTGGCACAAACCTAGCCTGTATGTATTTTTTGTATGTCATCGAGAGTATTTAAATGATTTTCAATCATAAAAAAAATTTGCGATTAAAATGCGATTAATCGCGAGATAACTCAGGCATTGATGCGATTAATCGCGATTAAAAAAATGTAATCGATTGACAGCACTAATATATATATATATGCTCCCAATTGGTAGAATTATTAGACAGCATGGGATTCATTTTCACTGTTATGCTGATGATACCCAGCTATATCTGTCTATAAATCCAGATGAAGCGAACCCATTACATAAATTACAGGCATGTCTTGAAGACATAAAAACCTGGATGACTCTTAACTTTCTCCCTCTGAATGCAGACAAAACAGAAGTTATAGTCTTTGGACCAGAGTCTTTAAAAAATAAGATGATTAGTCAGTCACTTCATTTGGATGGGATTAAACTGATTTCAGATAATAAAGTAAAAAATCTTGATGTTATTTTTGATCAGAACCTTTCATTTAAATCCCATATCAAAGAGGTTTCTAAAATGTCCTTCTTTCATTTGCGGAATATTGCAAAAATTAGAAATATTCTGTCCAGGGGGGATTCTGAGAACCTAAACCATGTATTTATTACATCAAGGCTGGACTATTGTAATCCTTTCCTATCAGAAAGTAAAAAAAACTGTAGTTAAAAGCCTACAGCGGATCCAAAATGCTGCAGCCAGAGTTCTGATGAAAATTAAAAAGAGAGATCATATCTCCCCTATCCCGGCTTCTCTTCATTGGCTTCCTGTTAAATCCAGAATAGAATTTAAAATCCTCCTTCTCACATATAAAGCCTTAAATGGCCAAGCTCCATCCTATATCAGAGATCTGATTGTTCCTTATGTTCCTAACAGAGCACTTCGCTCTCAATCTGCAGGTTTACTAGTGGTTCCTAGAATTTCTAAAAGTAGAATGGGAGGCAGATCTTTTAGTTATCAGGCTCCTCTCCTGTGGAACCAACTACCAGTTTCTGTCCGTGTGGCAGACACCCTGTCTACTTTTAAGAGTAGGCTTAAAACTTTCCTTTTTTGATAAAACTTATAGCTGAGCTACAGTTATGCTGCTATAGACTGAGACTTCTGGAGGATATAGGGACCCCTTTTTCATCATTCCTCTTCATTCTATCTTTATTCTCCCACTCTGTAGAATCTGTTAGTTCAATCTCTAACGTTATGCTCTCTCTGCTTTTTCTCATAGGTTCCCCTCGTCTGTTCCTGTTGGCTGTGACACCATCCTGGAGACAAAAAATATCAGCTGTGCTGCTGCCATCAACTCCTTTGTTTATCGATCAATTTGACTGTATGATCTGGTGAACTGTAAAGTGCCTTGAGATGACATGTTTTGTGAATTGGCGCTATATAAATAAACTGAATTGAAATGAATATATGCACTAGAGAAGGATGAAGAGCTTCCAGACGAATTCTACCGTTGACGTTTTTTTTGTTTTTTTTTAATAATAACAAATAGCCCAGGTTACTTATGGGGAATAGACCATAAACTCAAGTAAATGTAGCAATACTCTTAAAAATATTACTTGACAAATATTTAAAGTACTGTTTTCCCTAATGTTTACTCAAATAAATCTAAATACGCAAATGTAACTAGTTACTTCCCAACTCTGGATACGGATATGATAAGTGTTTAGATGCTCCTACAGCAAGTCTAAGCTGCAGGCCAGTAGCTTTCAAAGACTTGGCTGAAGTATTCCTGCTTAAATTGTTCCCTCTTTCAACATTTCTTTAAGGAATTAATGAATTATGTTTCCTTAGCACATCTAATCGTAAGTCATTCATTTGATACAGGTGTGAGGTAGAAGGGTAAAATTTAAAGAGAGAAAAGAGAGAACAAGAAAGCTCCTCACAGGCTAAAAAGGTATGTTTTTACCAATCTTTAAAGAGGAGGTACAGCAGCTTTAATTGGTACTGAATTCAAAACTTTTCCAACATATAGATAAGAAGCTGGTCAATATTTTAAAGGACCCAGCAATAAGATTCAACCTCAGCACCTGGTCTAATGCTGCTCTGTAAAAACAGTATCAACAAGTTGAATATGATGAAGCATACGTATGCAGGCTTGAGGGTCCTCCAGTGCCCTCTGTGGGTCCTGATACATGAAAGGCAGACAGTGTTCACATTGAGGCCCCGTTCTGTCATGGCGGCAGTCATCACAAACGCCGCCACTCACTCCTCTGGTTGCTTCATAGCGAGCAGCATCAAAGTGACATGAGTCTGAGTGACCGTGGCAGTTACACCCTTAGAGAGAAATAGAGACCTGAAGCAAGGCCAAAAAACTGTCTGACATATCAAGCGTTTAAAAAGTAGAGGTTTCATATTAGCATCATGTTTTAGAAGCACAAAAAGTTATAATATCTAATCAAAAATAAGCAAATGATATCTAATCCATATGTGTGCATATAAAATAGAACTGATTGAAAACTACTCCTGCAGATGCTGTCTGTGTTTTCTCCTCCAGGCCTCCAGGGGGAGTCATTGTAGAGGGACTGGCATCGCTCACAATTCTCTCCAGCTGTGTTGTGTTGACAAACACATCGACCATGAATCTGAAGAAAGAAAAACATCTTTACCTGCAGAACTCACCTTAACAACAAAGCTGCAGACAAATGATCTGTTTTCCTGTAACAGCCTCCTGTCATTCTTTGTGATAGCTAATTGGGGACGAGCCCATAGGACAGCCTTACGTTAACATATCACCACATGACTGATAATAAGAAGGACCACTTATTTTGATGATCCATCCTGAAAAAGAACATCCTCCGCTATACCTTTAAGGTTGAAATAAATCTTTTAGAGTATCTACAGCGTCTAGGCCTCTGGAGAGACTCCAGCTGCTTCTTAACAGTACAAATAGCAAGGACACCTAAGCTAAAGCAAAAGTGCTTCAGCTGTTGCCATCATAAGTGCTGTCTGAATAGTGTATGCCGTAACAAAAGAGTCAGGAAGAGGATGTAGCAAGCGTTTTATCACTAGTTATTTGAGAATAGGGACTTCCCTAAGTTCTGATCCACTGCATATGAAGCCACATTGTCAACAAACCTTTTCAACAGTTTTAAGACATTTGTGTTATTCCTAAAGAACATGAAATCATCTTGAGCTGAATATTTCCAAAGCCAAAGGTTTCCTTCGAAACCAGCTCTGTTTTCCTTTTTAGCCAGTCTTTAGCAAGTCTGGAAAACATTGGGAGCAACAATAATCTGTTGGATACTTAAAAGGCATTCAAGGGTAACTGCTGGTTTTTATCAAATCCATTTGCCTTGAAATGCACAATTAAAGTTTGGGAGCTGAATTTAGTTCTATTGTCTCAGTGTCTTGTTTAATGAATAAAATTCAACAAACTTTCCTCTGACAGATTACTAAATATATCTGCAATGATGCTTCATCAGTCTAAGGTTTAGATGAGAAAATCCATTTTGTTGTCTACATAAATGCCTCTATATGCTAAGAATTTTGAAAAAATTCCTTATTTGTAAGCCATCAATCAAGACTGAATACAAACTTGAATAGTTCATAGTTTCACTCATGCGATAGCCATTTGAGATTTGCAACAATAACTTAAAACTGAAGATAAAATAATTTAATCTAAAAGCTTTTGTGTAGAATCACTGTGTTGTACCATGCCAGGCTCGGTGAAGACATCCCCACGTCCTCCATCCACCGGGACACACCGGCTGGCGTGTCCATTACAGAAGCAGCTTCCCTGAACCACCATGCTGTAAAGTGAATAGTAATACTTCTCCTGAGGATTCCTTCGTCTGCGAGCCAGCAAAGTGTCACCAAGCGTGTAGAGATGAGTGAAATTCACCCGGATATTTGTAACTGTGATCAGTTCTGGGGATTAAAAAATATTATTGTTAGGTTATTATTATTAAATTAGTATTTGTTTTATTAGATTGCCTAAAATAAAGTTACTCATTAATTCATTCCTTCATTCATTCATTCATACACATATATTTTGTTTTCTATATAAATCAGAATATGTTTGATTAGGCTGCTTTGCCCAAAATTAAAAAGAACATAAAAACATACTTATAAAATAAAATAAATACCAAGCCAACATATATAAATAAATATATGTTGATGAAGAAGTGTTTTTTTTTATTGATCTGATGGAATATTGTTATCTAAAATGCTGTAAATTTATTAGCTGTAAGTTGAAAATAAACAAAGCAAACAGAAACAAAGGCTTTAAAAATTAGTCTGCATGTAATTAATGTATCTAATGTGTTTTACCTAGTGACATAACTTGCTGAAAAAATAACTTTTAATTATAATTGTAATAAACTCAATATTACTGGATGTACTAAAGCTTTTATGATTCTCTCTTACCTTGAATTTTTTGATCATACGGGTTTTCTATTTCAAAGACAGGATCTAGGGCCTTTAGTACCACCTGGTGGACAAACATAGTGAAGCACAGATTTATGGAAACTGATATTTACTTGTCTACATACATATTGAAAACAAAGGCAGTTATTATTTCTCACTCAGACATTTGCCCACATGATGTTTGGTAGTATCAGAAAAATGATTTCCATTAGCTATCTGCAAAAATAATTAATGTGTATTTATTCATTGTATTGAGGGAAAAAGAAGCTTGCAAGCCAAAGAACACCATCTCGGGCTCTCAGATTAATTTTCTTGCTCCTAGCATTAGTGTACGATCTGGGTGGTGACGGAGAACTTTCTCAATTAGATGGATTTCTTCTCATATAGTTAAGAGGTTGTACCTGCATGTTGAGCTATCTGCATGTGTTCCATGACCCAATGAAATCAGTTTACCTATTGAGTGTGTTTAAAGCAGTTCTAGGTATTTTTTGTAGATCATTGGCTCTCTCTACAGGACTTTCTGATAGTATCACTGTCGTAAACACTGACTGCCCTGCAATGACCTGCATCCTACAGTTAGAGTGCTGTCAATATTCAAGTGCCTGGAAGATGCAAGTGCAGTAATAATGAAATACTTGAAGGGGTGACTAATATTGTGCAATATCAAATCTATATGTTTACAGTATTTTTTTTGCTGCAAATAGTTACTTTTATAAAATATTGTTAAGTGAAAGTCTGCCTCTTGACTAAGCAGCTTTTAAATTCCTCTTATAAGATGATTCAGCCTGTTGTGTTTTATAGAGGCACACTAAAAATTAACGTCATAACAGTTACAGTAATCAATCTGATGGCAACATTCCCAGGTCTGAATAGATTTTGCAACCTGTTTGAGGTCTTGCCACGGATTAAAGGCTTTACTTAATTTCACTCTTGTTCCAGCTCTGTCCTGATCTGATCCAGTTTTACCTTCCTTTTTCTTCAGAAAAAGGTTTAATTTGTCTATTCTGCTGGCTCTGCCATGGCATGAACCTCCAAAATCCAAGAATGTGCTATGATCACCTGTGAATAGCACATCAAGGAACATGTGGCTATTGATGCCAGTGGGCTGTCGGGCTGCAATAATGCTGTTCATCCTACTGCAAGGGGAAGAACATCACGTCTGTGGCATAAAAGCTGCAAGGGTAGTTTTCTTACCAGAGACAGTAGGTGGAGATGGCAGTCCTCTCAATTATCTAATATACTTAGATTACAATCACAGAGGGTTTTTCTTTAAATCAGGTACATACCTCTCCACCTGTGGATGGTTCGGGTCCAGAGTATCTGCTGTCACAGAACACGTCATCAATAAATCTTGCAGATCCAGCTGGAACTGAAGGGAAATGAATGGAACAATCGTCTGCAAAGTAGCGAAAGGTTTTCCAGCTTTTTCCGAAGTCCTTGGAGCGCTCCACTAACATTGCTGCAGGCCTGAAAGTCTGCATAAGGATAAAGGGGAGATATTCACATTTTATTACACAAATCTGCCTTGGCAAGAGTGTCAGCTGTTCATGCAGGGCGCAGGACCAAGCCCCGTTAATCTTGAAAATGGGACGTGTCTGCTACTTAGGAGCTTCATCACGTTGATCAGAGGGTGGGTTTGGGGTTTCATGTGTCATGTCTGGTTTACTGTAATATATAAACTCCAGATTTTTTGGGTGACAGTAATTTAGTGGGAAGATTAATCTCTCAATCTAAGTTTCAGTAAAACATTTCAGCCTCATCCTGTCACATGTCAATGTTCCCCTTAGCATGGCACTTAAGAGTTGTTTGAATGTTGCATAAATGTGTACAGCCATGGGAGAATATGGCTCTAGCGTATTGCTTATATTGCAAGAAAAATGCTGCAAGAGCTCAGACCATTTAAATCTGACTCATGAGAAATTTTGATTAGACGCTGGACAGTGGAGCTACTCCAGAGATTGGCTATAAGGATGTCAGTTCAAATCTGTAATGGATCTCGGCTACCCTGGGTACTCCAATCCCAAACACCTGCAATAGTGGCTCCTGTGATTTTTATCTAGCTGCTAAAGGGGGGCTAAGCGTTGAACTTGAATCATTCTTTGTTCCTAAATTTTCAATGCACATAGATGCACACAGAAACAGAGGTGCGCATACTGCTCTCAAATCTGCTAGTCAACAATAAGGTGGATAATAAATATATGGCATTCTGCTATTCAATTAAAACATGTAAAAACATAAAAACACGTGTATAGAGTATTTCATAAACTGTAAGATTAGTTATATTTGTTTTTAAGTGTATTTTGTTATGTTAAGAAAAATAGAAAAAGTAAAAGAATGTTATTTCAAGGCAGCACTTAGAAACAGCAATTCCTGCCTTAATTTCTTCACGGCTGGATTACTGTAAATCCCGTCATTTAGCACTCAGCTAGTCCCTACATGTATGTCTGCAGCTGGTGGAAAATGCTGCTGCTCGTCTTTTAAACAGGTACACAAAAAAGAAAGCACATCACCCCAGTCTTGGCTTCTCTTAATTGGCTGCCCATATATTTTTGTTTTTCATTTTAAAATCCCTCTCTATGTCTTCAAGGTTTTAAACAACCTTGACCCCCCCCCCCCCCCCCTTACATAACAGAGCTCGCCCGCAGTTATGCTATGGATCAAACTGCTTCCAGGTCAGACACATGTTGGCCTTCTCTCTATTTAACTATAATCTCTAAGTGCTGCCTTCAGATACACTCATTCTGGAAAATTGTAGAATTACTGGAGAGGTTTGCACAAAAGAGGAGTCTTGCAGGAAGAGGGCTGGGTAGCAGTAAATTCAGTCCAGATGCATTGTTTCCTCTGTGAAATTAAAATAAATATGAGTGTTTTTAACATTTTACCTTGAATGTGAGGACCAGGTGGCTGAATTGAAATATGGTCTCCAGATCTAACCGGATGCTGACCTGATGAACTCCTGCAAATAACAAAAAACTGATCTGAGTGAAGTTGGACCTTCTGCCTTCTTTAAATCAAACAAAAAATGCTGACAAACATTCATACAACATTTGTGCAGTTAAACCTTTTTTTTTTTATAAAGAAGTTGAAGTTCAGACCTTTTGACTTTTCATTAATAACTGAAAAACAAAACCAGTACTGATTAAGATTTGTGCTGCACAAATGTAGCCAAATTGACTGACACCCATTTTGTTTTGTTTTTGCTGGGTGACCTTTGGTGACCTCTGGAAAGTTTCATTAAGCTCTGTAAAATGGTAATTACATAAACAAAAGGTTTGGCTGCACAAAATGTAGCATGCAATTTGTATGTTTTCTATGTTACCATTCTCAGACTGCCACCACTTCATTCGACTCTCATAGTCAAAGTTGGAGATGACATTTTCGATACGATGGCTCAAAGGGTTATCCTGGATACTAAACGGTAGTCTGGAGTCACATGTGAAACATTTCTGCTCCCCCTGATGGAAAAAAAAAAATCAGCAGTTAACTGATCAGTGGTGAACAGTTATGGTTTGTATTTAATGAATTCCCTCTCTTTAAGTGTCATTTAGGTGGAAAGTTTCATACCTGGTAAAATAAACAGAAGAAAAAACAAAAAGTTTTAAAAATGATGTTTCAGTTCATAAAGGGGGTGAAAATACAGCAGATCCTTTTTAATAAAAAAAAAGTGTTAAATTCTAAATAAACCAAATTCATTAGCTCAGTTTCACCAGTCCCATCTAGGCATTACTGTCCGACCTTCAATATTAGGAAATCCCTTAATTGAGACCAATGTACAACACAAAGTAGGCTAAAAGATCTGAAAGCAAATTATAGAACCAAAACACGGAAAAAAATGAGAAAGAAAGTCACTGATACTGTATCTACCAGCTTTGGAAGGGTCAAAATGCCAATTCAAGACTTTCGGAGAGGTGTGGGTGTTTCCAGTTCCTGAGGGCTGCAACTTTTAGATTTGCCTTTGGTTTAACACACCTGAATCAAGTAATTAGATGATTGAGTGGACTCTGGATGGATGGATCTAAAAGTTGTTGGATACTGGCCCTCAGGAACTGGAATTGCCCACCCCTGCTTTAGGACTAAATAAAAGACAATGTAAATAATAATCTAAAAGCTGAAAAACACAAAACTGTGATGAAACATCCAAGGAGTGATGAGTCTACTAAAATTACTCCAGGTATGCATCAGTAATTCATTATGGAGTTCATGTGGTCTTCAGACATTAATCTCCGCAGAAAATGTATGAGGTAATGATTTAACAATATGAAATAAAGACTGAGCAAAAATGGCCTGGCATGGGAGTTATACCAAGCCAGAACCACTACTACACAAAGGAACACAAAAGACTGCTTTACATTTGCAGAAAACATCTTAATGATTTCCAAAACTTCCCAACAGATATGTTCTATGATCAAATCATTGGGAATGTTAAAAAGATAAAGCTTTTGGAAATTGGGCAAAGCACAGTTGGCCAGAATTCTTCCAGTGGTGTGAAAGACAATTCTGCAAACTCTTGATAGTTCATGATTAAACTGAACTCAACACAGACACAAGTGGGTATTGTATAGAGATGGGGTTTACTTTTAAAAGGTTCAAATTGGTTATGATAATTATTTTTCCTTAGTAAATTAAAAATCTAAATGATTTGTGTGATATGAAATGTATCATCTAAAATAATTCAGTTTGAAAATCAAAAGCAAATAAATCTGTTGGGTGTAAAGTTAAAACATTTAGAAAGCACCTTTTTACAGACAACTCAGATAGCGTCATATAAGTATTCACTCCTTACAGCTGCAGGCTGATTTATGCATGTTGTCAGCTCTGATTAACTTCAGAAACATTTTAGTAGAATGTAGGAGTGCACAGATACAGACAAGGTCAGGTTCAAGGTCTTGTTTTCACAGTAAAAATTCCTGGGAAAGAATTATAGCAAGGGTCATCTGACCCAAACTGAAGGTTGATGGACAATTGACCACTGAGTTATTGCTAGGTAATACATCTTGTAGACAAGTTGTATGGATAGTTTGTGCACCTTATGTGGTGCAAGCACATGTTAAACTTGCAAGATTTAAAAAAGCAGACTGAGTGAAGACCATTGACATATTATTATTATTATTATTATTAGCGTTTTTTTTTTTTTTTATACACTGCTAGGCTCATTCAGTATTTATAGTATTAAAAGGTGTATTTCCAAACTGTGCCATGACAGAAGAGGAGAAAGGAAAATACATTAATGAGGAGCGGAGTAGGAAAATTTCCTCCGGCTGAAAAGTGTCAGAATGTAAAATGACAGATCAAGACTTGTTTAGGTATGAAAGCCCGAGGAAAAGGGAAGAAAAATTAGTTCCAATGCAAAAAAAACTGTAAAAGTTAACTCATCATATGATCTCATTAGAAACAAATGTTAGAACATGTTAACCCACATTAACATTTCCTCCTTAGTCACTAAAATGTTCTTAATCATGGTTTGTTTGATCCTCGCCTATCACCAATGTAGATGACTCTGTCAGTTCAGATCCCTGTTTTTAATCCAATTACTCTTACTGGTGGGTTTTGTACAATGGTGGTTTCTAACCTCCAGGTATCCAACAATACAGTAGTTCTGGGGTCCATCAAGACCACAGGTGGATGAGGCTGACAGCTGCGCTGCTCGACCCACCAACAGGTCACCAAGTTGAGGGTGACAGGACCTGCCTGGGCACTGGTCCTGGAAGTCCTGGAGTTTTACTGCTGGAAGATAAACTGCAGAGACAGATGAGACACTTTGAATGAGCTGCTGTTTGTTCATGGAAAATTGAGAATATACATGCAGAAAATAAATAGAATGATTGGAGGTATATATGGAAGAGTTTGGCAAACATATTCAACCACAAACAAATTATGAAGAAAGTGTGCTCTTCATTCTCATCCTTCTACTATTACTACAGGAGGTACTCTGGCTCAGAAGCTAGGCTACACAGCATAATATTAACTTCTTTAATACTTAGGTTCTAGTACAACACCCCTTTGTATCATCAGACCAAGGCGATCAGAATATTCTCCTGGAAAACTGGTGTAGAGGTACTTTAGTCTTTGTGATTCTCACCTTAAGAAATTCTGACTCGTTAGCTATAAAATTCTTTCCTTGTAGAAATCTAAAAAATTTAGTGTTATCTGAACCAAACTCACCAAAAAGAAAGACAAGGATCATGTTGAGAAACCAAATCGTCCCTAGTAGATTGCAGTTTCTGGTGGGTTGTAGATGATTCTTATTCTTTTGGGAAAGAAACAGCAGGTTAAAACATAGATGAAACACAGAAAGTGTCACAACATAACTTAATATCACAGTATTCTCCTTTAAATTGTCATTTAGTGTTATGTGCCCTCATTTAAAAAAACAGGAAACAAAGTTTTTGAACCAAAAAATGCACAATGAACCTACTTTAAGTGTCTCACAAGGCTTCACACCAGGACACACTCTATTCAGTCACTAGATTTAAACCTTCACACAATATTAAAATAGGACTCTATGCTGATGACACTATCATATACATGTGTTCCATATCATTACTCATTCTGTTCTGTCTTTGAATTTACACAAGACCTAATTTTTCCATTGATGGGAAAATACAATCATATGCTGAAGACACCGTATTATGTGCAAATTTTGAAAAGCCACAAACTGCTAGTATGCTACTGTATCTGCTATGGTGCAAGTGTCTGAATGCCTTCAATGTTCATGTTAACATCTTAAGGTATAAAAAACTGTATGCATGTTTAACTCTCACCAGCCAGAAGAAGATCAATAACATCAACCATAATGATGAATAAATAGAGACTGGATGTGGGCGAAAAGATTGGATGTGTTTGTGAAATGTTTTACTTCAATCTCTATTTGCTGTAAATTGCATCATTCATGTCTCTGCTGCATGTTTGACCATTTGTGGTACCATGAGCTGTGTGCTGCAGGTTTGTATCTGTCCACCACCCTTAATCTCCGTTTATGAAAACATAAACAAATTAACGTAACTTTATTCGGTTTGATCCTAGTCTCACTTCCCAGTCTGCAAAACCTTATGCACACGCAATATTTTCACCAATATTAAACTCTCATACAACCTGGTAAGAGACCACAGAATGTCATTTTTGCTGCCCTGATAGCTGACCTAATTGCTCACTTCGTTCACCTGCTGAACCCTCTCCCGTCACTGATTATAATTCAACTTACCCACCTGCCCCTGCTGGTTCATATACGGCTCAGACCAGCAATCAGGGCCAGATCATTGTTTGTGTTTGGCTTTGAGAGTTTTGCATTTTTCCATAGTTCATGTGTTTGTTCTCGGAGGCTAGTGGTTAGAGAGGATTGTTAGTGCTCTCTTGTCGTTTCCTGATCATGTCCTAGCTCTTGCCCGCTGAGCACGCCCTGTTCCTGTGTTGGTTCGGTGGGCGGAGCTAATTTAGGTTTACGTAGTTTTCCTGATGTCATGACTTGTTCCGCCTCTCAACTACTGAACCTGCCTGCCTCCTTTTGAGCATGTCTGCCTGAGCTCTCTGTTGGAATCATGGAGCCCTGAACCTGCCTGAGCTCTCTGTGGATTCCTGGAACCCTGGACCTGTCTGTTCCTGTTCAGACCGGAACCCCTGACCGGTTTGTGGACTCCTGGATCTCAGAACCATCTGTTTTGAGCTGTTTGTCTGTCCTGGATTGGACTTCTGACTGTTTACTGGGACTGCTTTATCGGGGATGCTCTGGGCAGTTCCCATAAAGTCTCTGCTTCATCGGGGATGCACTGGGCGGCTCCCACCGCATCTCGTTAGGAACTCCATCGGCTGGATCCTGCCTCGTTTGGAGAACATAGACTGAACTGTTAAACCAGGTAAGTGACTCACATGGATGATCACCTTTCATCAGATTATCATGGTCACATTACCTGTGTTTCTCCTTCAACCATAGTGCCAGTGAAGGGTGGTGCCCCGCCGCCCCCTGCCTCCCTGCTGCCATTGCAGATCTACAGCTCTGCATTCGTTTCTGTCTTAATGTTAATAAACGTTTTGAAACTTCCCACTGTCTATCACACCTGAATACTAGGTGCTACATTCTGGTTTCGTTACACAGAAAGAATGTTAAAACCCATGAAGTCTCTCTTTGAAAAGAGAAACATGTTTGCAAGAAAGCCTTTTCATGTAAAAAATTGCAGCACGCTTCATTAAAGCATTTGAAGTGCTTTCAGTTCTTCTAAATAGATGTTTTTCTTGTTAATAAACTTATCAATAAGTAATAAACAAAAAAATAAAGAATATTAATTCTCATTACAAAAAGCTGCAAGAGCTTTGAAGATTCCTGGTTTATAAGGAACATCTAGTATGCATATGGGATTTAAAACATTTGTAGGAAATATAAAACAGTCTGAGAAGAAAATATGTACATAGAAATGCAATATGTAGTATGTACATAAAGTGCCGCTAGTGCTTGTTCAGTCTTTGAAATAGGCTGATGGTCTGTTTGATTGGAATTTTTACACATTTCATGTCCACAGGGACGACAGCATAATATAAACAAGCAGACAGTGTAAGATGGTGAGGTGATGAATCAGGTTTAGCTAGATGGTTGTATCTATAAGAGATACACAATCATTGAATCAATTACCAGCAACTAACTAACTAACTAACTAACTAACTAACTAACTAACTAACTAACCAACTAACTAACTAACTAACTAACTAACTAACTAACTAACTAACTAACTAACTAACTAACTAACTAACTAACTAACTAACTAACTAACTGTTAACTGTTATAAAAGTAAATTATGTTACCATGGCCGCGCTCTAAGGCAGTGGTGAAGAGCAGCTCCTCTCGACAATTTCACAAAATATGCCGCTTAAAACAATAAAAACTAGACATCAAACCCGCATCTACGATCGCCAAGGCCTGCTGGAGCTACGGTCATAAAATGTTTTAAATTTAGACTTTTTTGACCGTTGAAAAAGCTGCGGAGTGCTATAGATGGATGTCAACAAAACACTGAAAATAACTGATGGAGGAAAAGATGCGAGAGACAGAGAAAGCCAGGCTGCAGAGGGGGGCTAACTGTGAAGCTAAAGAGAGATCCCCACAGACCGCCACTTCCATCAATTCTGCTTTCCAACGTCTGCTCGTTGGAAAACAAATTGGATAATCTCCAACTTGAATTCTCTTCAAAAAAGGAGATATGTATCTGCTGCACCATCATTCTGATGGGGTCTTGGCTGCATCAAGCAGTACCGGACGGTGCTGTTGGCCAGGGGGGAATGATGCTGTATCGCGCCGATAGAACCAAAGAGCTCTCCATGAATGGAGGCTCCTCTGAGACTGTTCCCAGCAAACTTCGGCATCTAGAGGGGAAGCACAGCCATCTGCAGGTGAAAATGAGGCGGCACTCTAGATGTTTCCCTGCAAAATGCTGAAACATCCCCAGCCGGCTCCTCCCGGCCCCATCTGACTTCAACACTTTCTCCAGCATCGTCTGTCGCTGCTAAAGCTACCGATGGCACCACTGCTACTTCAACCACGGTAGCCTCTTCAACCCAGGGGGCTACCACCTTCACAGCATCATCATCGTCTTCTTCCCCCCTGAGCCAGGAGAAGCGAGTGCTTCAGGAGCTGGAGGCAGTAGTAGCAGCTCAACAACAACTGCTGCCAGGCAACGCATCCGAGTGGTAACGCACCACACCTCAACATACAAAGTGCTGAGGTTCTCTGTACTAATGTTTCCCCCAAAATCAAACACACACATGCTGACTCTAACCTTGATGCATATACACATTTTCCTCCTACACCACATTGCATGCAAACAAACACACATGCACGCTCTTTTTCTTGCAGAGAAGCCCTGCTTTGTGTTGAATGTTGTGATTTTGATGTTTATGATGACTTGACGAAGTTGACATGTGCTATTTCAGCATTAGAGCAGAAATTTAAAAAACAATATTCAACATATGTTCAGTTTGACTCAGAGGCCTATAAAGCACTTCCAATGTTTGAGATGACTGTTTGCAATCAAATGATATCCTTCATGGTGGACTCAGGTGCAACTACTTCTGTTCTTAGGGTAACTGAATTCTCTGTTCCTTCAAAGCTTATTTGAAACTAGGTTTTTTCAATCTCTGCCTCTGGACAAATGACGAAGAAGCGATTTACGACACCTCTTGCATGCGTCTCCCCTGAGGGGTGCTCCTTTAAGCATAGTTTTCTGCTGTCTGAGCTGTGCCCTATTAATCTTCTTGGGAGAGATTTAATGTGTATCCTAGGCATAGGGTTAATTTCTTCTCCTGGGGGAGTTAGAATCTCTATGCAGCCTCAGACAGAGACAACAGCTATACAATTTGATCCACAAGCGCAAAATTACGCTTATGGGTGGAAAATGCAAAACTCTTCGCTCACACGGGAGCTGCTAGAACAGGTTAGATCAGCTGTAAATGTCCTTCTGATTTCATGCAGGTTTCTGAATTCTTTTGTACAACATGAAACTCATGGTCCAGATAAGGGTTTTGAAGAGGCTTGGTTTCGTGTAACTTCTGAAAAACTAACCACTTCTGTGCTGTATTGGAACTAAATATAGCTGCTCTGGCATTAACACTCCTACCTCATCAGCTGAATTTTTTTCAACACATGTACGGCACTCCACACGTCCCACTGGCAAAACCCTCAATGGGTGAATGGGATGAGGTGAGTTATTTTGTTTCAAGTTGCTTGAAAGTTTCTGATTGGGCTGTGGTTCCACATTGTTCTACTATTATTACCGTATGTTTTCAGAAAGACTTTCTGCTTTTAAGAAATCTCTTGGTATTGTAATTCATTGTCAGAGAATAGTTAATCTGACTCCAGAGCAAAACACACTCTGCTCATGTGATGTAGGTTTTCAATGTGACGTCACTTCTCATCCTCTGTTAAGTTCCTTCTGAACTTTGGGCGAAAGGTAAATATGATGTTGGCCTGATAAAATGTTGCTCACCTGTTGTTACTCCGAAGAGTTACTACACACCCTGCATGAAACAATATCCCCTCAAACAGGAAGCAGTTAAAGGGTTTAAGCCTGTTTTTGAATTTTCTAAAACAGGGGATAATAATTCCTTGTGATAATCCCTCTGTGATGACACCTTTGTTCCCAGTAAAGAAAATCAGAGAGAAAAATAAACCCGTTGAGTGGAGATTTGTTCAGGATTTGCAAGCAGTCAACAGAACTGTGACTACTAGAGCTCTAGTGGTTGCAAATCCGACCTCTGTCCCAGATT